TTGATCTAATCTTTGTTTTGTCGTATTTTTTATTAATAAAAACATTAATAAAAACGTGATTAAAAATAGTTAGCAAAATTACGTTGGTCTTACATATGTAAAAACGTCGCAAAAGTTAAATGTTTTTCCGATCTAAACCCAACATTGATTCAATGTATAGGGATCAACTTTGACCAAATGTGTATAACTTCATGCTGATCCATAAACATTGGAATAATGTTGGATTATATACAGTGGATCAACGTTGAGTTTGCATCGGTAAATGACAGACAAATATATATTTTTATAATTTATAAGAAATATCTTTCATATATATTCATAAATTTTGCTAATATATATGTATATATTTTTATATAATGAAATATCAAACAACAAGCGAAACAAAGACGAATAGTTTCTTTAAATAGACGCAGTCTTGATAGAAATCAACAAACCCCATCAGCAATATTTACTGATCTATATGGATGAAATATATATGTATAAGTACATGTATACAATTATATATGTGTATAAGAATATTATAAAATATAAAACAAATTTAATTCCGTTAAAAATTAAATATGACGTTGCGCAAACGTAAAATATAACGTCAAATCAACTTGAAATACAACGTTTTGGCAGCATAAAATGCAATGTTGTGCAAACGTAAAATACAATGTTGAATCAACGTAAAATATTACGCAATGTCGACTTAAAATACAACGTTAAGCCAACGTTGTTTTTTGGTTGTTGGCGACGTTGCATTTGTTACCAAAATAATATAAAAACAATGTTGGAAGTCGATGTTGGGCCAAAACAACGCGCAACATTGTTCTAATATTTTACCAACGTATGTGGGCTAGTTGAAAAGTGTTTTATTTGTTTATTCTTAAAAATTACTTTTCGTTGACATTTTTCATATATTATTAATTAAATTTTTTTGGAACCAAGTTGTTATTGTATTTGCACATAATTAAGTGTTGGCAAATATTGATTTCATATATATTTATCGTTTGCATGTCTTTCATTAATGGATGTTCCTATTTGTTTAACTATATATAAGTTTATATAAATATTTATTTAAGTTTTGTTAGTTGTTTTACTAATTTTTGATAGAATAAAATTTATATAGTTTTGATGGAATATAATTTATGTAGGGAAGCCACAATAAACTTTCATCAATAAGAATTCATAAGAATTTTATGGATTTTTAGTGTACAATTGGTACGTTTCATTTAAATGATGAATACAAATAATTTAAAATACAAAATATTTAAGATATCAAAATATTATTCAATATAATTTAAATGTATTATTTAAAATATGATCAGAAAATTTTAAAAGAAAGTTCTTTTTTTAATTTTTAATAAAATAAAGTATATTTTGTTTCATCTACATTGAGTGAGATGTTATTTATCACTGCGTTGTGTTCTATTTTTCTGTAAGCTTGTAGTAGTTAACCGTATAAAATGATTTTCATAAGTTAAATAATTTAATAGTGAAGTTTTTATTTTCAAAACCTTTAGTATATGGTCGTCTATTTTAATTATTGCGCGTTTAATCAAATGGTTTTTTTGAAAACCAAACTATTTAATGTAAAAAAATTCATTTTAAATTACACGCTTAAAAAATTAAATTACAGAAGTAATTGATTTAATTCTCTAGTTAAAGATATCTGGTCATTATTTTTGTAAACTGAACATAACTTTGGCAACTCTAAAACCCCTTCATGTATTGAAAATACGCTGAAAATATGGATACCATGTAAATCTACACATAACATAAAAAAGCGCATTAATAGTTCAGACTAAGCCAAGCTGCAGCAATTTACAACAACAACTTTTGCTAGCCTGTTTTATGTAGCATCATTCAAAATAAACCAGTGGCTCAATCATTTTCTAAAAACCAAAATTAGCTGGTGCTTACTACAGCAAGATAAGACGGAGAAAACAACAACATACAAACCAGACTATCGTTGTCTATAATTAATTATATCAACCCATTTTATAAAGATTTTATTGATGACAGTTTTTATTGGTGTCTCAAGGGATAGACACAGAATGCTAAAAAGGCTAACAAAGCCAAATTATAGCAGTAAATTTTTTAATGCAGTTAGCATTTTGAAGCAAAAAATCTTATTTTCCAAGCAAAGAGTTGCAAACTACTAAACAATTTTCAACTTTAGCTTTATTCAGTTTATATGGCATCCATGGTCCTTGTTTTAAAGTCATTTTTATTGCATGCAAGAGTTTGCTCATGGCTGCTTGAGAGAAATTTCTTTATTCTTTTTCAGTTTGAGTTATATTTTCCTTTAATAATGCTCCCAATTGTTTTGATTGACCAGTATGTTTTTTTTTTTATCACTGATATCTACTCACCACTTTTTAATTGTTTAAACCAATTTTTTTCCAAGGTTTTTTGATTTGGCACATGTGACGACAAGTTTTTTAAAGCTTATTATCTCAGCAGTTTTTTTCTTTTGGTTAAAGCAAAAAGTGTTTAAACACAAAAAAACATATTTTTGACGCTTTTACAAATAACGAATTACTAATTTTTAAAAAGAAATCTTAACACTTTAAAACTTTCTAAGTATCATTGTTATAGAATGTTCAATAGCACAAAATTTACGTCATTTAAGATATGCACCCAATAATGTCTCTGAAAAAAAAATTAGTTAGCTTTGAGCTTTTTTTATAAAAATCGATTTCTATGATTACTGAAATGAACAAGCGCTCAAATTGTTCATCAAGATTTTAATTTGTTTTGGCGGTTGAGATAAGAGAAGATAAGAGAGATTAAAATAAGAGAGCACAGTCTTGATGCGCTAAAAAAAAACGCAATCATTGCTTTCAACTTAAAGCACTTTTAACATAACAATTTATAACAATTTTATTTATTTTGGAAATCAAGAGAATTTTAAATTTTATACGAATAAATTATTTTACTGAAAATATAAATTTTTGTTGAAATTATAAATTTGTTGATAAATTTTGATCAAGTTTTAAAAACTAAAAAAACTAAAGAAAAAAACAATATTTTTTACTTTTAATAACCAAGTTCTTAGAAGACAGCAAATTAGGGTGGGTAAAAGGTCGAGTCTGCTCCAATTACCTAACTATTTGCTAGTCATTTTTTTAAAAGTCAGTATAAAAATAATAAAAAATTAAAAATTTAATGTTTATTTTATGTTACAAATAGTTAAAACGCCGAAAAGCATGTACATACTGTGTGGAAACACTCTCATTGTCAAGTAGATAAAACGTATAAATATTTGAAACCAACTTATAAACTTCACAAATATTCCAAATTTTTTTATGTTCATATGTTTGATGAAAAGATTCTTTAAAAAAAATTACTGTGGTAGGAGAATGGGAACAAGAAACCCTAAAATCTTAGCATTGAAAAACGTGAGAGCAACAAGTTGATGAAATATTTTTTGTACTATTTTCAACTAGACTTATATTCATCGAGAAATTTTAAATTTTATAGTAAAATAAATTAGTGCTCAAAATACTGACATTATAGTATTATGACCATTTAAAGTTTAAACCTTTTTCAATTTGAGGGAATTGCAAACTTTATATGATCATAATTTTTGAACACTAAATTATTTTACTCTGAAATTTAAAATTTTTCGATGAATCTAGTTGAAAATAGTACAAAAAATATTTTATCAACTTGTTGCTCTAACGTTTGGGGCAGGAAGGGGGCTAAGATTCGAGATAAGATTTTAAATATTTTATATATTATTTATAAATTTTTCTATTTTTTATGAAAAATATATATAATTATATCATGAAAATATTTATTACAAAATAAAAATAACTATTCAAACGTTAACTTGACACATTTAATAATAAAATAATTTTGTTAAATAAAAATGAAACAAAGAAAAAAATTTAACTAACTATATGTATTAAAAAAATATATATTTTTATATTTATAATACTATTTAAAAATGAAATATTTTAAATACTTAACTATTATGTCAGTATTTTCTTGAGAAACTAAAAAAAGTTTTTTGGAACCTGTAAGTGTGTTCACCTTAACAAGCTAAACAAAAACTTTGCGTAACTCTTTTATCTCCATTTGCTTGGCTTTACTTAAAATCGATTTAATCCAAGTTAAACATTATTTTATGAACTGAAAAACTTATCTATGCCTAACTAATAAATAACAACTATATTTATAAGCAGCTAATTATACTGCTTTTGATAAAATTTTTGTTAAAAATATTTTGAAGTTCTCAAAAAACGCCAATAGGCGGTCCGTAACAAAAAATCACTAATATGTTTACACATGTCATAACAATTTCTGGTCAGTAATTCAGATTATAGTCTAAAAGTTTAAGTGAACTCAACTACTAATATTGTTTTACAAAAACAATAATACCGTAAAATGTGTTTTTATTGACCACCTTTTGTCGTAATTATAAATTTGTTGTTACAAGCTGACAACTGAAGTAAATAATGTTTTTATTGACCGCCTTTTGTTGTAATTATAAATTTTTTGTGACTACCTGACGACTGAAGTAGCCATGAACTTCACAACAGGTTTAAAAATAATGAGTAATCTAATAGATATAAATACGTTGTATAAAAAAGTAACAACAACAACAAAAAAAACTCACGACTTAAGACCTAAGAACTTGACTCGTTAAAAAGTATATATTATAATAATTTCCATATATATATATATATATATATATATATATATATATATATATATATATATATATATATATATATATATATATATATATATACATATATATATATATATATATATATATATATATATATATATATATATATATATATATACATATATATATACATATATATATATATATATATATATATATATTATATATATATATATATATATATATATATATATATATATATATATATATACATATATATATATATATATATATATATATATATATATATATATATATATATATATATATATATATATATATATATATATATATATATATATATATAACAAAATACCTATTAATGATGTATCTGTTATACGTTTTATCTACTTGACATTGAGAGTGTTTCCACACAATATGTACATGCTTTTCGGCGTTTTAACTAGTTGTAACATAAAATAAACATCAAATTTTTAATTTTTTATTATTTTTATACTAACTTTAAATATATATATATATATATATATATATATATATATATATATATATATATATATATATATATATATATATATATATATATATTTATATATATATATATATATATATATATATATATATATATATATATATATATATATATATATATATATATATATTTAAAGTTAGTATAAAAATAATAAAAAATTAAAAATTTGATGTTTATTTTATGTTACAAATAGTTAAAACGCCGAAAAGCATAAATATAAAACTATGCATTTGAGAATAGTATATATATATATATATATATATATATATATATATATATATATATATATATATATATATATATATATATATATATATATATATATATATATATATATATATATATACATATATATAAATATATTTATATATATATATATATATATATATATATATATATATATATATATATATATATAACAAAATACCTATTAATGATGTATCTGTTATACGTTTTATCTACTTGACATTGAGAGTGTTTCCACACAATATGTACATGGTTTTCGGCGTTTTAACTATTTGTAACATAAAATAAACATCAAATTTTTAATTTTTTATTATTTTTATACTAACTTTAAATATATAATTGTTGAAGACACTTTAGTATCATTATTTAATGTTTAAATGATATTATTGTTTTGCCACCAGAAATATTAACATCTGCTCGTCAAGGTCTTTCTTATGAAGAAAAGTTACTGCCATCGAAAAGGAGAGTAGCAGCTCACTTGTCGAACAACAACAACAACCCTAAGTATAACCCTAAACAAATTGTGTATGCCTTAAGTAAGTGTGCGCCAAAATGGAGAAAATGATTATGCTTCACTTAAAAAAAAAAGTTAATAGAAGTCTCAGCCATCCTTCCAAATTAAGGAAGTTGCTTTTTACTTCAAAAAAGGAATGCGTTGCATATACAGTAGATGAAGCCTTAAACGTTTTTTTATAGCAATCTTAGAAAGTAGCAGTATTTGCCAGTTTAGTCTATTTGACCAGCAAATTGAAAAGCTGAATGATCTTAGAATTACCAAATGGTTTTAAAATTAACTATAAACTATAGATGACTGTAATTGATGACGGTAATTGATGACGGTATTAGATGACGGTATTAGATGACGGTAATAGATGACGGTAATAGATGACGGTGGTAAATGACGGTAATAGATGACGGTAATAATAAAAATCTTGAACATTTTTACCAATACTAAATCAAATTATTTTTTATTTGCGAAGCTACTCTTATAAAATTTATTATTCTCTACTCTTATAAAATTTATCAAAATTAAAGAACTTAGCTTTAAAGAGTTTACAACAAAGTCAAAAACTCTACTTTATGCAAAAAGTCTATTTTATTCATTTTTTATTGCTTTCATTTTTGAGTAGCAATAGCATACATTTTTGAGTAAATACTCCGGGACTATTCGTTTAAAAAAATAACAGGTGCAATTACGTTTTTTATTTACGATTAACGATCGTGTATAATACGTGTATATTAACTTTCAAATTAAGTTTAAAAGTCTATGTTGTTTGTTTAAAAGTTTTGATTTGTATTTATATTAAATTTGTTCATTTAGCGGTGGATTTGAACCGACAAATGCATTAAGACTTCGGCACTGAAGACAGCGCACTAGGCCACTGAGCTACTGAATATATATATCATAATGGAAAACAAACCATTTTATAAACTTTTTACACCGGTTTCAATAGTTTAACACTTTTAAGCGGGTACTCTAAATAAACGTAGTTATATTCCATCGAAGCATTTCATTGAAATTTTTAAAAGAAATATTTGAGAACCACAATTTAATAAACCACAATATTTTCTCGAAAAAAAAAAAAAAAGTAAAACCAAAAAAAAAAAAAACTAGTATAAAAATTACATATAAATACACTGCAAATAAATAGCATATTATATTAATTGAAGTGTAACATGCAAATGTAAAAAATCAACTTATAAAACGTTATATACAATCATCTGGAAGTGTAAACGTCACTACTACTGGCAGTAGGCAAGTTGAGTTTGCTGCAGGGATGTGAGGTCGGAGTCCGGAGTTAGTAGTACTCGTTATAACCTGGAGTCGGAAGTCCTACCCGTCTTAAAAATTGTTTGGACTTTAAGACTTTTATAGTTTTATATCAGTATATAAACGTTTCCTAACAAACCCTTATTGACTTCTATACGATTGTTAATTTAAAATTGTTTAGCCAGCACTTATACAACTTTAAACAGTTATAGCACAAAGTATTGAATGAGTGTGGCAAGCCCTCCGGCATATAAATTGTTCAAAAATGTGCAGCGTGTTTATGGCATACATCACCTATAGCATACGTTGCTTTTAAATGTATAAGAGTTGAATCACAGCATATGTGGTGTACAAAAGCTTTGGTGTACACTAATAGCTAGAAGCCGGAATATGCGTAGGCACAAAAATTTACATATACAAGCCTGTATTGATGCCAAAGTTAAAAAAAGTATTTTTCTAACGCGTTTTCCAAATATTATTGTTTAAACAAACAGATATGATTTTTCTGATTAAAAAAAATGAAAATCATTTTTTTAAGTCGTTTTCTTAGCCATTAAGTCTTTTTAAACACAGTTATAAAGTATTATTTTACTTAAACACAGGTAGAAAGTATCATTTTACAAGTGCAGTAGTTAACGTCTTTTAAATGTGTCAGCGCACATCGTTAGAATAAAATTCGTTATGTTTTCGGAGTTGCTGAAATTTATCATTTATATTAAATAAAAACGCAAAACGACATTTTGGATTAAATACGCGTTTAATTTATCTCTTAATATAATAACGAGTTTGATAACTATTTTTTGTGGAAGGTATTTTAATACAAGTTTAATAATTATTTAGTTTTAGAAAAGGTACAAAATAAGGGGGTATAAAAATAGGCCGATTCTTGGAAAAATAAATAAATTGAACGCTGTAATCAAACTTAAATCTTCTAACGTTAACGTTAACAAATCTCTTATAAAGCATATTAGTAGAAATACCTTCAATCTAAAAGAAATAATTATTTTTTGAGCAAAAAAATGAAATCAATAATAAGTTATAATTTAAAAAAAATAATTGAAACTTTTAATAGCCTACTCTAGCATTTCAGGAATTCATTGTTAAAAACTCTGGTTAATTGACTCAAAAAAATCGTAGTCCGGAGTCCAAGAAGTCTCTATTTTTTTGACACCAGAGTCTGGAGTCCCGGAGTATCTAAAAATCGATAGAACTTCGCACTCCTGGTAGAATATAAAGCATCGTGTGCGTATAATATAAAAAAAGTTTACAAGGACAAGATCAAGGCCAAGATTAAGAGATTCAAGAACAAGGCTTAAGCAAACATTTTCAAGACCAAAGACTTCAATTAAAAAGAAGAACTATCTTCAAGGACATTCTTGAAAAACATATTCCAAGATGATCACGTTGAAACAAAAAAAAAAAAAAAAAAAAAAAAAAAATTTCCAAGATTTTTTATATTTATCTTGTATGAAACTCTTAATTTACCTTACTTGTATAGTGGGTGTTTAATAAATCTAAAATAAAATAAGAAAAAAATAAAAAAAATTTTTTGCCTTACGTTAAGGCCAATTATTAACAAAACTGTAAGTAGCAAGTGCTGTGACAATAAAATCACATTTTGTAAAAATAGACCAAGGTTATGCGCAGAATTCAACAAAATCAATAAGAAAATAGGTTTTTTTTTGAAGGTCAAGGCCAAAAGAATCAAGGCCAAGGCTAAAATTTTCAAGCCCAAGACCAAGGCCAAGGTAAACGGTTTCAAGACCAAGACCAAGGACAAGGGCTCAATTTTGAGCAAGGCAAGGCTAAAGACTCACAACTCTAAAATAATTTCTTCTATAAAAATTTATAACGATAGTTATTAGTTTATCATGACTTCCTCCACCTACCTCTATGAGTTTTAACAAAACATTTTGTTTTATCAAAACTAAATGATCTCTATGTCATGCAAAATCAAAAAATATGTTTATTATATGAGCCGGTTGAGATTTTTAAGGTTTTATTAGATTTACTGTAGAGAATACCCTTCAAACTAAAAGCTAAAAAAAAAAAAAAAAACAGTTGCCAATTCTATGCATAAACTTACACCTAACAAGAGTCTCAAGTTTAACAGAATGGCTTGATTCATTTTTTTTGACTTTCACTATGCTGATTTTCACAAGCTCATAGTATATATATATATATATATATATATATATATATATATATATATATATATATATACATATATATATATATATATATATATATATATATATATATATATATATATATATATATATATATATATATATATATATATATATATATATATATATATATATATATATATATATATACAATGAGCTTGTGATATATATATATATATATATATATATATATATATATATATATATATATATATATATATATATATATATATATATATACACATACATACACAAAAGTTATACGTTTTTCTTTGCGTTTTAATTGATCAAAATCTTACACGAAAAAATCATATTGAAACTTTGAGCATAAAAATTTAAAAAAAATTGAAATATTATACAAAGCAAGAAATATTTAAATAGACATGCATTAGATCAACTTTATAACTCACCTATCCAATGCCATTTAAACTATGCAAAGATAATATATTTATTATATTTATATACTATATAATATATTTAATATATTTATATACTTTTTTTCTAAAATTTTCAAACTATTAAGCTCTACATCATGTATCAATATCTGACTACGACAAAATCCCGCAGCGTTGTAATTTTTAGTTAGATTTCTTTGTTACAAATTTTTTGGTGTTTGGTTGAATTTCAGAAACAACAAAATAATTTTTTACATCTTCAGGTTTTGATGTTTTGTTCTAACCAATATTATGCAACATTGTTAGATGTGG